CAGTAATAGGAATTGAGAATTTAGTTGACATTATAATTTACAGCAGTGAAATGTGGAAAGCTTCAAGGGATTAACGATGTTATATTTTTTGGAAAAAATGAGATTGAGACCTCTGCTCTGTGTTAGGGTTCTAAACATGGGATGTAAATTTATTCCATATCCAGTCTCAGTCTCAGAAAGACAACTGAAGCAGTCAATATGGTTTTGCAAGCAGTCTTTATTTAACTTTTGGCTTGTTTGGTATTTGATCATGTAGTTGGGTTGGACAGTAATTCGGTTCAGTTTGAGGTGCAACTTTTCTCATGGATAGCACCGTGCACTTGTAATCATATTTTTGTGTTTCTCATTCTTTTTTTTAAAGAAAATAAAAATAAATATTGCATAGAACTGCAAAATTCATGATTTAAGATGATCTTGAATTTCTTCCTCAAGTCTCTAAACTCTCATTTACAGCAACTTTATTTGGGCCATGAGTTAAACTGTCAATTTTGTGATCATTGGCCTTCCCATGAAAATTCAGGCTCATTTTGGCCTATGCTTCCACAAATGACTTATATTACTAACATTTGGGCTACAGATAAAATCAAGCCCTCTGATGTAGGTCTTGAGCAAGAAGCACAACTTGTACGGAGTTGGAATAGTACTCTGCACGAGCGCAATGGGGGACTGCAGCCACCGCCACCGCCACCAATCAAATACCTGCACTTACATGAATGTGACAGCTTCTCTGTAAGTGTTGCATAATGCTTTTACCTTTTTTCTTCTTTCCTTTTTTTTTTTTTTTTTTCTGAAGAGGGTTTAGGGTGGGGGTTGTAAAGGAGTGCTGATATTTGGAGAATATGGATGACTAATATCAATTTGTAGGGGTTCCAGCTGTAGAGAAATGATGCATGATTGAATCTTTTCTCTTGTTTGGTGTTTTTCGCAGATGGGGATATTTTGCATGCCACCTTCCTCTATCATACCTCTACACAATCACCCTGGAATGACAGTTTTAAGTAAGCTGGTATATGGTTCCTTTCATGTGAAAGCCTATGATTGGATCAATATTCCAGGTCCTTTGGTTCCATTGGAAGGTGCGTAGTCTTTAATTAGATGTGTAGGATGTACTTGGTGGATATGCAATATCATTTCATTGCACAATATAGAGTTTTCGGATTAGATGTTTTTGATGTGCTTGTTTTCTGCTATGTTATTTCTAATTGAGTGGCAGGTCCTTTCTCATCTCTGGTTCTGTTGGCATGTTTTTTCAGGCCTTTTCTTTTTGTCAGATTTATTTTTTAGTTTGAATATGATAACTCAGAATCGTGTATTTGTTTCATGATATGCCTATTTTTGCCTTATGAACTCATCCTTTTCGAATTCAACCATAAAACTTACTGACTGAGAGCTAGGTATAAAGATTACAACTAAATTTGAGGGTTTAATTGCATCATTTGCAGAATCCGTGCTTGCTTGTACTAATAATCACTTTGTTAAGTTGTAAGTTGAGTAGACTTGCAAAGTCAAGGGTTCAGTTCACATCTTGTGCAGAATTTTGTATCCCATGCTTCAACTGGAACGCAAAATGTGGGAACTCTGTGCACATAATTATATTACTTGTAGATAGTTGACTGCAACTGGGTGACCAAAGAATATGAATAGAGAGATACTAGTTTTTATTTTATGTCAATCGGAAGGAGTTGTTACGAGTTTATTTTTTCTATTTTCTTTATTAGCTCTAGTTTATCTAAGGTATTATTTTTTGGGATTAAGGTTCGTTATACAGGATTCTACTGCTACTTCTTCTCGACCTCTTGAATTCATGTACAGTTACATATATACATACAATATACACACATCGCAGTTTGCTATCTTCAGCTACTCGCTCCTAATGTTGCTTTCTCAGGTGCAAGACCGGCAAAGCTTGTTAAAGACTGTGACATGACTGCTCCGTGTGGGACAACTGCTCTGTATCCTACTTCTGGAGGCAACATCCATTGTTTCAAAGCCATAACTCCTTGTGCTATTTTTGACATCCTTTCTCCACCCTACTCTTCTGAGGATGGACGGCATTGCACTTATTTCCGGAGGTCTCCAGTAGTGGATCTACCAGGTAGTTGCACTGTTAGAAATTTTGCACAGATATGAATTGTATTGAAAATCTGAAGTATTTTGACATACTTTTTTTTAAGGTGAACTCGAGGTGGATGGAGTGACATCCTCCGACATGACTTGGTTGGAAGAGTTTCAACTTCCCGATGACTTTGTGATCCGTAGAGGGCAATACAAAGGCCGTGTCATCAAAACTTGACGTGTTTCATTTTTTTGGTTCTGTCCAACTTTTATGATGCATTCAGGTAAAATGAGTAACGTGTCTACCGCCGGTCTGAGAATAATGACTATGATTTTATATTGGTGAGAAAATAGGGGCATTTGAGATGTACATATCATTATATACCATTACATTAATTTACTGACCTCACCTTAAAATAGTTAACGGTTGGCTAGACAGAGTATAAACGAAGTTTTGATCCATAAAAAAAACAGCTCTCTTTGTGCCTGCTGTTTTGCCTCATGTCGGTGGATAATGAGTTCTATATGGTTTGCCTCACTATTTTGTGTTTTTTTTTTAGGGGGTGGGGGGTTAAGTCTAGAGCCCTACTCTTGGTTATGGAGTGTGGGTAGCTGAGAAGTAGGTCAGCAAACTAGTGTGTGTGTGTGTGTGGGGGGGGGGGT